GACTAAAACGGATTTAAGCGCATAAAAGTGACTTATGAACCATTGATATCAAACGGCGGCAAAGTCAGAACAGACGTTGTCGCAAGTCCAAACCAGCTGTCGTGTGCATTTTAACATATTAAAACACAAGTACAGGAGAATTGAGATGCACAAAAAATGAGAAAGAAAAAGTCGACAGTGTACATATCCCTACTACTCATAGAAGCGAAGAGTCGAGTCCCAGGAAGCAGGCTTGAAGAGGGAGACACGATTGCTAGGACAAGAGAATTATTAGCCTGACGTTTCGGATTACTGCCCGAACCCATCATCAGAGACAAAAGCAAATACGGTTAGTTCATGCACAAGGGGCTGCAGTATTTATAGGATGCAGTCGCCATGCTACCGCATACCTATGAATGTTCACGACTGCTCCCTTCATCCGGGATCGTCGCACCTGGTGTGCTAATTGTTTGATGGCCGACATTCGCGTCGTTAATCGCTGCAATTTCATCACGTGCGTTGAATGTTGGTGTGATGATTGCTCGACCATCTGACGCACCAACCCTGGTGTTGGGGCAAGTGTTCACATGTGCGCTCCCCACGTGGCTAATTACTCCGCCCAGGCGAAGTCTCAGCACCGAGTATGGAAGGGGAAGGTCATTGCACTTGTTAATGAAATGAAATGTTAAATGAAACGCTGATATGTTTTTCCACCTAGGAAGGAGCACATTAGTGGGATGGTACTACCAATTATCACGGAGCCAAATCCCAGGATATTTCGGCCAAGCCAGAAATCGTCGCTTGTGAATAAACTTCTTTTCGGCCTCATGCAAAGCGATACTCGGTAAAAAATGGCTGCTTAATTGGTATGTGTTTGTCCAGCCGCTTTCCGATTCCCACATAAATTCAAGTATCCCTTATAGAAAACGCGCTTAAAAATATCCTCTCTCATACTTATTGGGTAGCAAAATCACGTCTTCTTCCAATTTTATACTCGAATAGAAGATGTCTTCTGATTTTAAAAAAATACAATTATGAGAATTGTAGAACCGTGAAATGTCAGTTCGAATGGTATCGCATCTGTCCGTTTACTGGTAGTATTAGTGTGGGGCCTGTAGGACTAAAATAAGGTATTCAAGTGTGACTAACAAAAAAATAATAAACCCCACTGCAGTGAATATTTACGTAGTATGTAAACAAAAATGCGTTGGTGTTTGCCTTGGAGAAGGGTGCTGACTGTACTTTTATGAATTGTACAACATCATAATTCATATGTGAATTTCCTAGCGTCCAAGTCGGGAAATTGGTTTTTGATCTAATAAGATTTTTTAATGAATCCCTTCTCCAGGTCGCTGCACCCAATGAAGTTCATAATGGACGCGTCATTACTGAGTCGTCGTTTTATAGTTTTATCGACCGGTGTGAACTTTTTTCTTGGCATTTCGGTTGCGTGCGAGCGAGTGCTGTGACTATGCGGCCAAACTTACCGACATTCGTTCAAAGCCAAGTAGAGGGGAGCAAATTATAGATCGGTGTCAAAAGTGGCGTTCGCACCTCCTTTCGGCGCCGGCTGCCACTTCTGATTTACCGTTCTTGTTGTTTACACCGCGTGGTTTATCCTAAGCTCGTTAGCTTTAACGAACTACCGATCAACGTGACCTAGGGGTTCTTGTTGAATTTGATATCAACATGCCCTCTCTCCTTCTCCGTCCAAAATGCGGGCTACTTTTTAACCATATTCTGCCTATGTGGAATGAGAGAG